AGAACATTTTCGATCTCAAGTCATTGGAATATGCTGCTGTCGTTGCTGGTTCACTAGAAGTTGTCAAAATGATTCAAAATGGCTCTGCCTGTGTCATGTATGAATTTGTCACTTGATCAAAGGTATGGCATAGGGTACGAGAGTAATGATACTGTATAAGAAGAATAGTGTATTATTGTGTATAGTTGTACGTGTAAATTACCATGATTATGGCTTTATAAGTGAGGGAGATTGCAAGAGAGAAAGCAAGAGACTGGTAATGTACCACCACAAAATAGAGTACGATAGGGTACTAGAATAATGATGCTGTATAAGAAGAATAGCGTATTGTGTATAGTTGTACGTTTAACTTCCCAGCAAATAAATCTTACTATGAACATGTCTGATCTTATAAGATTGGTTAAGATGGAGTAAGATAAGATTATATCATACAAGATCTTATTTAAGAATTTTCTTTCTACAAGGTAGCCAAGATATCTCAAGTAAGACCATGCAAGATCTGATAAGGTGACTAGATGGGTGGAGCCAAAACTAATTAATTATTATTAGAATCAATGTAATAATAATGTAATCAATGTGTTGTAATGTACATAGTAACAATTGGTTCAAAGGAGAAGAGAGACAAGGACTAAAAGAATGATCTGGTGATTAATGTACTTCATATTTATTGGGAAGAGGTATGACATACATGGCATTCTGGCCCTCTATTGGTACTTTGATATTGATGCATTTATTAACAATATCCTTTAGTGGAACTGCAAGCAGTTGTTGTGTAGGAACTACCTGGATGATTTGATTGCTGAGAATTTGCAAACATTTGATTTCATTTATATTTTTTTGTCTGCTAGGACGTAAAATGTGGAAAGGTAAGGTTTTGTTGGCTTTTTGGAAAACAGATATTATGCTTAAAGGTTGAATATTTTGAAGCACATAAAACCCTGTAATTTGGCCATAGCCAATAGTTGTACCAGTTAGTAATTTAAAACAGCAAAAAGTATTGTTTCTTCGTTTACTTTGTAAGTAATCGTTGGTGCAGTATATGATACCTGCCTTCATTATTCTTTGATAACACTGCACTTTTTCATTTGTCACCAAATGATAGCCACTACTTACAATTGCATCTATCTCTTTGTCTTTAAGAGATCGCAAATATGTTCTCCCGATAAGGTAGCAATCATCATCAATTTGGTGCATTGAGCTTTTCCTGTTACTTAACAATTTCTCCAGATATGCTTTTGTTTCTGGTAATTCTCTCTGACTTAGTTGTCGTAAATTATCTGGGAGTAACTGAGCTAGTTGTATATTGAAGCTCATTTGAAGTAAAATTGAACGTGTACCATTGAACGTGTACAGTGTACTGTCAGCAATTCAACATCACTAGTAGCTGAATTTTCAGCTGCATTTTCCTCTTCCCTGTTGCTGCAGACTGAAGGAGCATCATGCTTCTTTTTCCAATTCCACTTAGTTTGCCTTGGAATGGTAGCTGAAGCTGTGGTGTTGTACAACCTTCTCTGTCGTTTTACTCCATTGTTTAAGGTACCAGTAGTTTCCATTACAGGAGGGTTAATTTTGCTTCTTTTGTACCTCCAAACAGTTGTTTTTGGCGTGGTAATATCAGGATTCCTTAAGTACTGCTTATATAGTTTATTCTGCCGCTTCTTTGTACTACAAGTGGCCATCTTGGCAAAATACGACACATACGCGGAGTAATAATGCACGTGATCTATTGTGATGACGCAATGTGCACGTGACTTTAACGTGATCCCGCGCATGCTTAGAATTCGACAGCTGCTGCAGTCTAGTTGGTGACTTTGTCAAAGCTGTTGGTGAGTAAAACCAGAGACATACAACAAAATTAAGAGTAATTTACCTGTTTTTAGAGATTAGGGAATAAACTATAATGAGTGCCGGCAAAAGATCTAGACTGCCCAGCCTCAAAGCTCAAGAAACTATCGACACTGGGAAAGCAGCTGCTGCAGAAGGTATGCATCAGGACAGTAATACTTCACTGATGATTTACCAATAGTATGGTGTACTGTGGAACTAAAAAGAACTGATGGTTCTACTAAAGAGTATCCAGTTAGAGCTAATAAGCTAGAGACTGAGACAGGAGAAAAAGTGACTCAGAAAGACTTGTATCATGGTAGTAATGTAATTTGGAAGGCAAGGGGCAACCTTATGAAGTTTGTGTGTTGGAAACACACCATAAGTTTGACTATGTCTGTTATTACTCTGTGCACAACTAATATAGACTCATTATGACTACACTATTATTAAGTGACTGTAAATAATTATTAATGAGGAGCAATGCCAATGCACAGATTATATATTGTATTTTTTATAAAAAGTCTATCAAAAATTCAATTGAGCCATATACTCATTGTTTCTTATAATTGTGCTTGATTTGAGCATTATTTAATTGTAATATAATTTTATACTAATAATAATGACTTTTAAAATGTTAACTGTGACAAACCTGCACTCCCAGATACATTAACAATTGGCTTAAAAATATAAGTTAAATAATTAATTACAATAATTTATTACTGCAGGTTCAAAACCAACTAATAAACAATTATTGTTGTCTGAATCATCGGATAGTGAAAGTATATAATTTATTATCAATAGGATAAATAATTTTATTAATTATTTAGGTGAAACGACAACATATAAAAAGCAAAAGGCTAAAAAATTCAAAGGTATGAGCAGCTAAGTCTAACTGACTGGCTTACTTAACTAATTGCTTTTATAATTGCCAGCGCTGCATCTCCAAATTGATGTGTTATTAATTTAATCTTACAGATAAAGGAGCTAGTCCTAGAAAACTGCAATTAGAACTATACTCTGATGAACCAGAAGGTAACAATTATCATAAATATAACCATTAAGTATTGCAACTTTGATAGATGAGAGCAAAAATGAAGGTGACAACTCAGAACCTCCTCTACATAAAATACCTAAAAGTGATGTCATTTTTTACTGAAAATAATAACTATAATGTATAATTATCCGATAGGTTTAGTTGATGATATTCCTGTGTTGGGAGGAGAAGTTGTCATAAAAGAGGGTATGTACATGTATAGGGAAAAATTATACTTCTTGTCATAGGATATGACTTTCAAATAGATGGCACACCAAATAGGATTCATGTAAAGAAAGTAATTAGAATTATATTATGTCTTATTTACTTGCATACTTTTTACAACACTTCTAAGGAATCACCAAAGGTATGTCAATATTTCTCATTACTAACATTATATTTTTTATAATAGAGTTATTCAGCTTTCTCGTCTCCTTTTTCGGCTACAAATACTACTTCAACCGTTGAAGTAATTTGATTGATTGATATTATTTTATGTATTGTAAACCACATACATAGGACAAACTCTATAAAATTGAAAGGAAGGTGGATATAATTTTGAAGTACATTAAACAAACAGTATGTTTTATTACTGACAAATACCAACTTATTCTTGTTAAGAAACAGGTGATCAATATAGATGATGATGATCTTATTGACAAAAAAGCTAAATTCACTACAGTATATACAATTTTATAGTAATGACATCATTTTTATTATAAATTTAATATAGGAAAGAGGAATTAATTTACTAAGCCTGAGGGCAATTAATCCTTGTAAATATGCACTGGAGCTAATGGACGCCATATTTTCAGTAGAAGAAATAGCAACTCACTGCTTTGAAGGAACTGAAAGGGCTACTAAACTTCCTTTAAATAAGGAAAAAGTCTCTTTATTATACGGTACAAAGCTGTTTGTTTTGATTTAATAATATGGGTACATTTAATAGATTGCATCAAGGAGAAGTTTGGATGGGAGAAGTACTATGACTACAGAAATTACATAATTTATTATTGATTTTTGAAGATGATGTTTTAATGTGATTTGATTTAATTATACAAGATCATATAACAATGATCTTACAGGATCTTGAAAGAATAATGAATCAGATCAGTAATGATCTTACAAGAAGAAGTAAAGATCTTGTCAGTTTTTGGAACTTCTTGTCCCATAATCTTATAAAAAAGAGTCAGATCTTATACTGTGATCTTCATAAGATCTTACTTAAGATCTTACACAAGATTTATTTGCTGGGATGTTCACTGTCGTGATATTAGAGTTACTAAATATCGTGATAGTGATATTACTACTATAGCCCAGGCCTACTCTGGACTCTATATACAAGTATATACTCTCATAAAGTCTCGTCATTTATGTTCTACTTTCGCATCATTAGCAGTCACTCTGCAGAGTTTTTCTCCTCCTATCTCATCACCTATATCTGAAAATATAGATGATGAGACAGGAGGAGAAAAACTCTGATGATGATCATGTGTTTAACAAGGAAGAAGTTGCTAGATTTCAACATTGATGGGAAAATGGTTGTGATATAACAACTGATAATCACTATATTGCTTGGCTTAAGGCTAATTAAACTTGAAATATATTCTAGAATTGGCACCTCCAAATTTTCTGCCTCTAGTTTTTTATGTTCCTCCATTCTTGAATGATACAGAATAAGAAATAAGACCCAAATTTTCGAACAAGACTATCAGATCATATCTTCAGAATTGAAGAAAAGTGTCACAACAAATATTACAGAATGAATAAACTTCAGTCGGACCAAGTCTTTCCAAAACTTTACATATACACAGTTGCCTTACTTGCCACTTACAGGTACTCATGTGGCCACTGCCCATGACATTTACTTTTACCAGCACCTGCATTCTAGCAAAGCCATGCCCAGCCGGACGGTCATTGGAAAAGCCTGTACTACACAATAGTGTACTCTCATTGGTACTGATAAACTTGAGTGTGAGTGGTACTGCACTAAGTAAAGTTCATTTTTATAACTATGACTACTTTTTCACTCTTTCACAAAGTACAAATAAAACTCTATAACAATCAAAAGTAATATTCTCATGATCAAAAATTGGTCTTGGCTTGTGATTAAATTTTGTAAGGTATAACAATAGCTAAAGAAAGCTTCAAATAATTATGCTTATTAATAGTCAAAAAAATTATTATTAGCCAATCAACTTTACTGGTCTAAGCATTTCAATCCATAATATAATTAATGCATACCTTCATTTGTTTCATAGCTTAAATTTCCTATAAATAGGGTTCTTCTTGGCAAGCTTTTGACTTGCTTGTTAGGATGATCTATTAAAAATTAAAAATTAAAAGCATATAAACTTCATAAAATGAAAATAGGATGTGACTTTTAAATTTCAGGGGCACTGTGTTATTTTCATAACTATGGGAATGTAAGAGTTAAAGATGGAGAACACTACTGAGTGGTTACAGAAATGTACTCACAGACACACCAAAAATACCCAAAATGATGTTTTGTGACAAACACACCTATAGAACTAGTGTCATTGTTTAGTCATGCCTAGTTATGCAGTGGCCATTACATAGGTATCGCTTTTAGTTCAAAATGTCTAGTTAAAACAACATTAAACACCAAATAAAAGTCTCAGATTGGCTTCTATGTCGCTCTAAACCTTTATAGAAGTCCAATTACTAAAAAAATGCAAGGAATCCTTCACCATCTCACCCAAAACCTCATCCCACTCATAACCTCATCCCACTCAAAACCTAATACTGGGCCCCCCAAGACATGATGAACGGGGCTGATACAATTAATATCTTTCCACAATCCAAGATATTTGTTCTCAAATATATCTCAATTCAAATCTCACAAGCTTCATAGTTTCAGTGATGCATCTGAGGATCTATATGCAGCTGTAGTATACAACCGTGCTCATGACAGAGACAACAATGTAGTTATCTCACATGTAATTGCAAAATCTCGGGTATCGCCCACATTAAGAATGTCTATACCTTGCCTGGAGCTACATGTATGTTGAGCTTAACTACTCTCTCAGCTATTTTTGACCTAACAGTCTCTGATATATATGCTTGGACTGATAGCACAAAAGTCCTGAATTGGTTGCAAAGGAGCTCTTACCAATTTAATATAGTGTTTATTGGAAACAGAGTATCTTTGATTCTCAAACGCATACGAGCAGATCAATTAGGAAATGTACAAGGGACTGAGAATCCTGCAGACGCTCCATCTAGAGGGTTATTCCCAATTGGAACTTTTGTCTCATGATCTGTGGTAGAATGGACCTCCATGGTTAAAGGAGAATCGAAGTGAATGGCATCATGAATATATAGCAAGTACTGAAATTCCTGAAGAAGAGAAAGTGTTGTCTTATGTTGCTCATTTGAAATAGTAGATAAATTCAAGGATTTGCACTAATTTGTGAAAAGACAAATATTTATCCACTATTATACCAGTAGATAATATTTCTCTTGCCACAAATTAATTATTACAAATACATCTTGGATTTATCGTTTCATTAAAAAATTGTAAGATATTATCAAGTCTCCACATATACAGGTTATGGAGCTCAGTACTGCAAAGCAGTACTGGATTCACTTTCTCAGAATAATTATTTCAATTCAAAAATTAATCTTTTACTATCGAATAATGATTTGCTTAATGGCAGTATTATAATAACTTTACATCCATTTATGGATAATTACAATGAAAGTACGAGGAAGATTAGCCAATTCTAAACTCTGATTTTGTCAAAAATATCCCACATATTACATCAGAAAGATCCAATCATTTGATTGATCATTCATACTGAACTTTATAGCATGCAGGGCCTACTCTACTGACAACATTACTTAGCAGTGACTATAATATACTGTGGAGTAGCTCGTTCTGTTACACGACAATGTCATCATTTTTGAATGATTATGCTGGTCCCATATCTATCAAGCATGGCTAAGTGAGAAAACCTATTATTGTGAGAACATATACCGTACTAACAGGTTATTAAGCACCCTTCGTTGTTAAGCACCTAGTTATTATTAGGCGCCTAGCTCAATGTAGCTCTTAGCATGGGTTTGTTAAGCGCAGTACAAAACAATAGGAGTCCAAGCAGTAGGAGTTAAAGCAGTAGGAGTCCAGACACTTTTTATAAGCATGGTGGCCACAAACTAGACTGATAAAATAGTATTCTTTACCACCTGCCATTGTAAAGCCAGTAAAGTGATTAATTAATTATTATTGCAAACCATGCACACCTACTGTATTCATTAAGCACTGAGTCATTACTAAGCGCCTACACTTAATAACCCGTTAGTACAGTAATGCTGTATTTATCTCTCTAAGTGTGAGAGCAGTTCTGTCTCAAAGCTAACAAGTCAGGCATTTCTCGCATGTCTCTGCTGCTTTGTTGCTCACCGGCATTGCCCCAATCAAATCAGAGTGACCACATGACCAATTTTGCGGGTGCTAAATGGGAGATAAGTGAATTTTATAAATTCTTGTCTAACAAAAATCAGTCTAATAATAATAGGAGTATAGAATGGCGATTTATTCCTGAGAGAGAGCCTAATTTTGGAGGATTGTGGGAGGCTGCTGTGATAAGTATCAAGACTCATCTGAGGAAGCTAGGTTACAACTGAGGTGAAACTAACTTAGAGCACAGTTCTGACTTAGACTGAAGCGTGTCCAAACTGTTGCCCACTAACAAGCATTCCTTCCAGTGATAACAAAAGGCATTAAGGTATTGACTCCCATCACTTCTTAACAGGACAGCCGTTAATGTCCGTTCCTAATCCTCCATTTTATTATTGGTCCATTACATGCTATGTCGCTGACAGTTACGTCAAGCAATAGTTCAACATTCTTATAGTAGGTGATAGACGAAATATTTAATGAGTCTTGTTATGTGCAGAGGTACAAATTAAGAGCTGTGGTCTCCACGCCTTTTACTCCTCCTCCTCCTTCTCACACGTGGCAATATATGGCCCAGGCAGTCTCTACCTGCAATACATGGCCCAGGCGGTCTCTACCTGTCTCTCTTCCTCTGCCCTTGAAAATTCACTCGAATCTGAATCTCTCCTATCAGTAGAGAAAAAAAGGAAAGCTAAAACATGTAGCCTGTTTGTATGTACTGCAGTTGATGATTGTAGGAAGAGCTATTCTAGACAGGAAAAATTGAAGCAACACATCAAGCAGTGCCACCCAGAAGCATATGATCACAAAAAGAATCATTACCAATGTGACGTTGCAGGATGTGGAGAGTCATTTTATCATGCTACAAAATTAATTAGCCATCTACAAGATGTACATCATATTTCAGTCTGTAAGTATATATATATATATATATATTATGAGTATATTTTAGCCCATTCATTCTGCAATGGAAGCCAGGTGTATATAGTTAATATACAACTCCTTTAATATAAACCACCTCATTTAAAATGATTAAATAAGCTAGAGAATATGAACAAGAGTATATAAAAGCTATGATGAAGGTGAATAAATGATAATGAATAAATGATAATGAATAATGAGCAAGAGTCATTTAGTAAAGTTAATGTTTATGGTACATCCATGCAAATCCTTGATATCGAAGATATTTTCTTTATCTTTAGTTGGTTCCTTTTCGCTTTCACTTTCAGCAACTGTTACATTATGGGTTGTCGTCTCCTGTAATGTTGTGGTATTTGACATCAACTGTGACACCTCCTTTTTCTGTAGTTCACTTGTCCGACCGTTCCATTATAAGCTTTTCGGGTACACCACCATTATACAATCGACTTATTCCAGTTGCTCGTAAGCTGTGGTTATGGATGCCCTCACTAGCCAAACCAGAAGCAATATACATGTCATTAAGCTTACGGGATAATAAATTATGGCCAATGGGACAGTCATAATACCAGCATTCATCATCTGCTTTAAAGGTGACCTTTGGCTTACAATAGAATATATCTTTCTCCTTTGCTACAGCAGAGAGTTTAGATACATAGAGCTCCATCAAGTGAACAAAACACTTCTCTCCAAGAGACGGATTTTCATAATGAGGAACGATTTTATTCTGTAAATGAAGTTGATGAACTACACCTGACCTATTCTTCGAACCATATTCAGTATACACAACGCATTTGATAATTT